TGACTGAGTGGCTGGAGGGAGTGAGAGTAAGTGCATCATGTGACAGTCATGTGACCTGTAGTATACATGTACATGTACCACATGGACTGAAAATAAATACTGATACATACCCAAGGCTATAGCCCATGGTTTTTTCCAAAAAAAATGACTCCGAAATCACCCCAAATTTTTATTACATTTTTTGATACATATTGATGTCCTTATGCTGTGTAGCAAGTTTAAGCTGATTCCGACTTCAATTTTTCAAGTTACGGCCATTTTAAGAAAACGCCAAAATTCAAAAAAATATTCAAGGCTATAATAGCCCATGGTTTTTCCAAAAAATGGCTCCGAAATCACCCCAAATTTTTATTACATTTTCTGATACATATTGATGTCCTTATGCTGTGTAGCAAGTTTGAGCTGATTCCAACTGCAATTTTTCAAGTTACGGCCATTTTAAGAAAACACCAAAATTCCGAAAAATACCCAAGGCTATAGCCCATGGTTTTTTCCAAAAAATGGCTCCGAAATTACCCCAAATTTTTATTACATTTTTTGATACATATTGATGTACTTATGCTGTGTAGAAAGTTTGAGCCAATTCCGACTTCAATTTTTTAAGTTACGGCCATTTTAAGATAATGCCAAAATTCACAAAAATACCCAAGGCTATAGCCCATAGTTTTTTTTCAAAAAATGGCTCAAAAATCACCCCAAATTTTTATTACATTTTCTGATAAATATTGATGTTATTATTGGGGCGAGCCTGAGCTCGCCCCACTCTAGCTATACTCTCAGTCACGCCCCGTCTGTCCTTCTGTCTGTCTGTCCTCGTACGTCACCCCTATTTATGCGTAGATCTAATACGGTAGATAGATACTATGCATTACCAATGCAATTTTCAATTTTTCATTGAAAGTGGCAGCGGTCACAGTAAAATAAAAATGGCAACCAACACACGTGAGCTTTCTAGCAGCAATATAAGGCAGATACACCGTCCAAAGACTTCTCCAGCAGCTATAGAAGGTTTTAAATTCAATTAATAACCTATGAAGCTCGTCTTTATTGATGCAATTGCTATTAAAACTGTGAAAGTCAATCAAGCTTTTTCTCAGTCATCTTAACATTGGATAATGTTATATCTAAAGCTAAGTAAAGCATCTTTACAGACATTTATAGGCAAGAAATGTGTATGTGAAACTAGAAGACTAAAAGTTAAATAAAATAAATGATGTAAAGTGATTTTATCAGCAGCATTAAACTTTCATCATGTGAATCATGCTTGCTATGCCTAAATCATGATGCATGCTTTGAAATCATCGGGAGTAGATTATAGAAGGATAGATCCAGTGCCATTAATTGCTTTGCTAGCTTAGGCTTGCCCCTTAATGTTCTACATTCTTCTAGTTTATTATTATTATCAATAGGTTAATTCCTTGTCCAGTCAGTCTGTGTTGNTGGAGGGTCCATTATTGGAAGGTCATTTGAATCTTATTGTGGAGCTGCTGACGTTTTCCTCAATTGAGGAGAGACACAGTTTAGGGAGTAAACCAGGAGGAATGAACCTCATACCTGTAAGGACACCGTACCTGTGAATTATTATCATGTGTATTTAATACTATTGTACATGTGAATTATTAATACTGTTGTACATGTGAATTATTAGTTAATACTGTTGTACTTCTACATGTACATGTATGCATGTAAATACAGTACTTATACATGTAGATGTACTTTTATAAGATTTAAACTGTGGTACATGTTCATTAGGAATAGCTTTTGGAATGATAGCTTGGCATAATATTGCTTTTTTCAGCAATTCCACTTTTTATGTAAATTCTTTTTTTTCTCAGAACCTCATCAACGATTTCTTGTTTCGAGCCTCAAGACTAGTGAAGAAACTAAAGACTACACCTGGTAATGACTGATACATTATATTTAATATTATTATTATTATTATTATTATTATTATTATTATTATTATTATTATTATTATTAATAGATCTACAGTACAATGATGAGTTAGCTAGTGGTATATGCTCCAGTCCTGACAGTATTCAAGCTTGTTATAAACTATTGAATGCACTTTGTGTTGGAGTGAAGGAGAACATTGAAATACTTAGTGAACTAATCTCTGATATATTCTACAATGGTGAGGCTATTACTACTAGTATTAGCATCAACAAATAAATTACTGTATACATGGTTTTTTGAGGGAATTATTATTTCGAGAAATTTGCTAAATTTGGCTAAATTTCTAATTTGTGGATTTTCAATTTTGCAAGTTATACATGCACAATGTGCCGTGTGGGTAGCGTATTAAATTGATTTTTGCGGATTTAATTTTCGCAAATCAGGAAGGAATTAGTGAAATCTAAGAAATTTGCAATCCTTGAAAAAAACCACTTATACTGTACTTTATTTGTAAATGCATTAAAAGCCCAAACTTTAAAGAATTTGCAATGTTTTTATTTTTTATTAATCCTCCAGATGAGCCTCCATTGGTGGAGTGGGAGTATTATCCTCATGTTGGTCCTCGGCCCACTAGAGGGTATGTGGGACTGAAGAATGCTGGAGCCACCTGCTATATGAATGCTGTACTCCAACAAGTAATACCTAATATATACATTTATTTAATTTTATTTAATATTTATTTATTAGTACACTAGTATTATAATTATAGTTGATTATTTATTAATTTGTTGTTGTGTAGTTGTACATGATCTCTCCGGTCAGAAATGGTGTCCTCTCACTATCAGAGCCAGCAGTGCAGCTGATTAATGAAACTGACAAAACAGAACAAGACAATAAAGGAAAAGTAAGGAGGCGTTACTATTTATAGAACAACAGATACTATTAATAGAACCAGGATTATTTATGAATACCTTGCTTGCTTTGGCTCACCCATTAAATGTATTGTATTATTATTATTATTATTATTATTATTATTATTATTATTATTATTATTATTATTATTATTATTATTATTATTATTATTATTATTATTATTATTATTATTAATACATGTATCTCTCCTCTATGCAGTCAGTAGATGGTCCACTGGTCCCTGCTAGTACTGACCGGAAGGAGACGCACA